TCTTATCAAAAAACCAATGTTAGCATGCACACTGATGTAGCTTTTAATGTTCGACAAAAAGTTGTAAAATGTCAATATATTAATTTTGGTATATTGTTGTCTAACAATTATAATTCAAAGCCGGATACACGTAAGCTAGTTTTAGAGGGGTAAATTAGTTACCCAATACATAAAGATAAATTTCGTTCCATTCATTTAGTAATGAACATCTGTTAAATAAATATTCTCATCCAAATAGATCCAGAAATTACTAAAGTACATGACGACTGTTCGTTTGGGTGCAAACGAAATATTAACATTCTTATATGGAAGTTGTATGATGACAAATTCAGGTTACGTAAAACATTGATCTAGCAAGTTCATGTGGGAAAGTGGATTTAGAGCTTTGGTTATTCAACATGCAGGATATTATTCGCATTCCCTATTTAGGAATATTTTCTGCTGTTTTTCGTGCATTGTCAGCCAATGTTAATATGCATAAAAGGTTGAAGAGCTATTCTTTCAATAATGATGGTAACTGTTTCAAGCCTTTCTGTCATAATAAAGTCGCAGTTGAGTCAACGTTTGATAATTTTACTCCACAAATAAGAATTAAATTCAAATTAAATGCAACAAAGAGTTTTGAAAGTTAACCTGTCAAGATTTGGTTGTTGGTGGTTGTGAGACATTTCCAGAAGTGAAAAGATATTAAATAAAGGCAATAGTAGTATACCGCTGTTCAATAGTCATAAAAACGATTGTGTACATCTGTAATTTGTTAGAAACAATGTAAATATATTTTTTTTAATACATAACTTAATTTCAAAAAGTAAAACCTTGCCGGGTTGAAATGCAAACATAATATCCATGTACACAAGAAACATACAATACATGAAAAAAGTTTTAAACAAGTCTAGTTAATATTTATATTATACATTTGTATATATAAGTATATAGATATTTGACCAATGTGGACCTTATTTTCGCAACTCCATGGATTACTTAATTTTATAACATAGCAACACTAGACAAAATATCTTTATTGGAATCTAAAATAGTTTACAGTTTTAGTTAAGTTTTAATTGTATTCATAAGTGGATTTCTAATATTACTGCTGATTTGGCAATGAAGGAAAAAGTGTTCCTCATCATCTTAAATTTTGCAAACTTTACACACTTATGTTCTCTTGAAATTTCCTCATTGACCTAAGGTGGGTTTGTTGTTCATGCATAGGGCAATTTGTAAGGATATATTTTCAACTACTGAAACAGAAGATTGATATAAAAATATATGTGTGATTAATTATCTAGCTTGTATAGTTTAAGTTACATACACATGAGTTTTAATTTTTCAGTTATTGGCGTCACTTTATAATGTAAGTTTGAAATGTTTTGATTATTGGTTAATGTATTTGGCTCACAGCTTGGCAGCAAAGCCCCATTTGATGTTGGTTGACAGTGTAACCAGGATCTGGTTTCAATGCCAATCTGCAAGAATTCGCTGCATCAAAAAACATTTCGTTTTATAAATGGTATCATTCACTACAGATGAACAATGTAAGGGTTTTGATCCATCACCTGTGTTCCCACGATGATCCAAATTGTTTTAATCTTATATTCAGTTACCACAATCTGTGGTAAACATTCATATATATATTTTAAAGTACGGTTGCCATAATCGGCGATATGCCGGTAACCTCATATTTTCAGATATACCAGTAACAGTTAAATTGCCAGCGATCTGCGGCACATACATACATTTATATTGAGATAACTTATATACCATAGGTATAAATTTAAATAATATTAAAGGCTGTGGCCAAATACTGCCAATTTGTTGGTGGGTTTTAACAAGCATCTGGGATAACTATTATAATTATAGCCATTTTAGCGGCAGGATGGTAACAATAGTAAATCAATGTCAGAAAATTATCAACGTTTTGTGTTCAGCACCAAACTGTTGAAAGGCGACGTTTTCTAAGCCTGATACAATAAGGTTGATATTTTTTCTCACATTGACTTACTTGGATCTGTGACATATTGAAAATACTTTGAAAAATGCACATGAAAGTTTGTTCAAAGAAGGTGCTGCAGTCTAGATTTTTAATAGACATATTATGGACGAGAAGAACATTGGTTTTAGAAGAATAATTCTGAGAATTACCATATCAAGCAATATAAATAGTTAAGGAAAGGAATGCTAACATGGATATCATGCATCCTACATTGAGTACGTTTGTGTATGAATCACATAGAACTTAAGAGTTATATGCATCCAATGTATTGCTGTTGGTTCCGTTAGGTAGTACACAGTTATACGAGCGACTGTTTAACTTTACATCTGATGTCTGCAACTTTCTTATCAAGTCAATATTATAACACGAACATTCAAATGCATTTCCTGCTAAGTACAATGACATTGAATGCACGGTCTGCATCTGATCAAGCCATTTCCATATTTTCCTCGGAGTTCGATATTTGTGTTACGTTTTCTTTTTATACTATGATTGAGACATTTGGACGAAGTCCCCTAAACGGTTTATGGAATTTTGATGTTAAGAGGGGCAGGCAGAGAAAAGTGGGTACCTAATTAAAGTAATCAACTCCTACTGTTTCAACCCAGGTATATAAAACTTCACAGAAAGATTGCCTATAGGAAGTTAATCACCTGTCATTATGGAATTTGTTCCAGACTTTTTCTAGTAAATTTTTAGCAACATTTCGTAACAAATAAAAGACCTCTTTCGAGTTATATCATTCACCGGGAAAATTCGTCAATTATGCGCGATAAACTAGAAATAATGTATCTTCCGTAATCGCTCAATCACAATTCCCTTATAACAGCAGTGCTGGTTAACAATTATAAGAACTTAATTTGCCTAATAATTCTTGCAATATAGCATCATCTTTTTCACACGCTCGCTCAATATGGGAAGGAATTGGCGATGCTCCTAAACGCACGAATGATGTTCACTTAAAACAAAGTTTTTGACGAAAACGCAACGAACTCGAAAGTGGTCTTATGCAGCAAAGCCATTTGAGGCTTTAATCTATTTTCGGTTGAGTATAAAATATGGATTTGCTTGTAGATATTTAGAGTAATAAAGATGGATATCGTCATGGAATTTTTTTATTACTATAAATTTCAAACATACCAAGTCATGAATATGACGGTTGTTATCCATTCGTTTAATGTGTTTGAGCTTTTGATTTTGCCATTTGATTACGGACTTTCCGTTTTGATTTTTCCTCGGAGTTCGGTATTTTTATTATTTTACTTTTTTCATAACTCTGACAAAAACAGCTTCAGATTGAAAATTAAATGTATATGAAAAAATGTTGATATTTTATTTGTACTACCTAAAGTATTTAGTTAGAACTGTTTAGACTTTTATAAAATATATAACGCATTTAAAAGACATTGGTGCAGTGTACATTACAATTTATATTTTTTATATTTTGTTTAATTTTTCTTGTATTGCATTATATTTATTAGTTTGGTATTAGATATGGAATTCGTTAGATATTTGGTATGAAGGATATTTTTGTGAATATTTAAAGTAAAATATATGTATATTGCAGTATTTTTTTCTGAATTTTGTTATTTACCCACTAAGTTGTATATTAAAGAAAGAATTGCTCAGGTGAAAATACCTCCTTTTTTGGGGCGCGGTTATATTTGAACTTGTCCATTGTTTGAATAAGTGTTTTTCCACAATTTGTCCTCAATTGCAACTATCGTTTGATGTCGATTTTTCGCCCTCTTAAGAAAATGTGTTACCGTTTAAAATTTCATGGGAAATAGGAACTCAATGTTAAAGAAAACTATATTTGTTTTTGTTTTGCAAGTGTACATATAAATATATGGTTTGAAAATGAAATAAATTACTGCAAACTCAGAGTGAAATGTGATGTTTATTTTCTATCGTTATGAAAATGTGATTATTGTCAATATTAAAACTTGAATTATTATGTTCACTAGCAGTATATTACTTAACCATAAACAGGAAAAGCATTGATATATTTTTAATTATAGTTAGTTTTGGAAAGTGTGGTATACGCCTATGAGACAGTATTCTAATAACAAAAATAACCAAAACGACATCTTTAGAAAATAATACGGACACTTTTGGGGCCCTTTATAGCTTGCTGTTCGGTATGAGCCAAGGCTCTGTGTTGAAGGCCGTACTTTGACCTATAATGGTTTACTTTTTACACATTGTGACTTGGATGAAGAGTTGTGTCATTGGCACCCATACCACCTCTTCTAATTTTTATCTACAAACAATAGACGGGTTTCTATACAATATCATTTAATATGTCCCGCTCTAAACCGTCAAACTTATATAAACTGTTTGCATAAATTTAACAGAAACAATCGAATAGATGCAATTACCATCCAATTCTCCAAATAACAAAAACAAAAAAATATGACAAACGACAAACTGGCGAAGTGCCTGACTTTGGGCCGGCTCGTCAAAATATGGGGTGGTGTGTTTTGAATTAATGAACAATTTTGCCAATTACTCTAGGATAATAGCGGACAAATTAATGATTATAGGAGGTTTTCATATTTGACAAAATCAGGTGCAAATAATTGTAAACTTTCAGATTCAACTTTTCGGTTAGATATATTTATCAAGTTCAGTGTATGATACAGATATCAAAGCCTCTTCTTTACATAACCTTTAACGGATATATGTTCAAGACCAAATAGTTTGAACACAACACACTTTATATTTGACCACTACATTATGAGTTTTTCTCATTGTTATTGTGACCTGTAATTGCTTACATCCACGTCATTGGGTTCGTGGTAGATAGATGTCTCATCGGCAATCATACTATTCCTTCAAAACTTATGTATTTTTTTCGAAAGCGTAAACAATATTGTGCCAGCTAGTGAGATAAACTATGTTGCTTATGATGTGGAAAATCCGTTGTGAGTCACATTCGATGAACTTTTGTATGTAGTCTTTATTGTGCATTTTCAAACTACAATGTAAATAGTCCAATAAACGATCATGAATAAATGTTTTATTGCATTTATCTATGTTAATAAAATTACAAACTAGAAGAGTTGCAACTTATCATAGTAATATATTGATACACAAACAGGTTTATATGTTATTTTACTGATTCCAAGATTACATTAACTAGTTATGTCCTTTTACAGTTAATGTTGAAAAAAAGAGCTGCTTTAATCGAACATAGGCGTATGGTTATGGACTACAAATGAACATGTGTCCAAAAATACCTATTGTTTTTCATTTTTGTCTGTAACAACGATTTATTCTAAATGGTGTCAGACACCTCAAAATGATCCACCTAGTTCACATCTTCCCAGTAAGTGGTTTGAACGACCCTGGAGATTCCTTCCAGTGGGGCGGCCATGTAGCTTTAATACTAGGACGAGAGCTGAGTCTCTCATAATACGACTTAATTTTGGGAAAACTGTTGAGATTCAGTCCCAGGCGAACACCAAATCCAATAAAAGGAAAAAAATATACATCAGCCATCGTGAAGTCAGGACCTGTGAGATAAGCGCCAGTCTGTAAATAATTAGAATATAATGCGTTAAATCATTATGTAAATTTATGTATATTTGTGTTCTGCTTACTGGAGAAAAAACATTGTATGTAGGTCGGTAAAATATTCTTATTTTTGGAAATATTTTAAAAAGGCTTAAGAGTGAAATTTTCTGGACTTGTCAATATAACGTTTGTGTGTGAAAATGAGTCATTGCTATTTTACAAAACTGACTATAACTTCTCTTAAAATTGTTCTTTCGTGGTCGAAAACCACATGCAGCCCATCCAAATTAGGTGACCTTTGGTTGGCTTAATGTTTTCATTGTTTCTATATCCGTTAACTACTGGCCAAAATGACGGAAGTGATTAGATTTCCTCTCCAGTTTCAGTATATAAGTTTAAATTCTCCCTCATAAATTCGTCCGAATTTAAAACATTTCTAGTCTATCTACATGGCTAAATAAGAGGCAAGTCAAAATGTAGGCATGGTTTTCTCGCAACATTTAATAAAGATAATAAAAACATTACAAATATCTCTAAACAAACACACATCTAGCTATTCTACACTACATCATTATAATATAATGCAAATAATATACTATGCAGAACGTGTTGTACTTAGAAGTTAATGTGAGCACCTCGATACATACTATACAAGTATCGGACTTATATATGACTATAGAACCCCACCCGTAATACCGCCTTGGAAATGCCCGTGCGGTACTAACCAAAGACTTATATTTAGATAATAATCAAACTAGCTCTACAAACTAGTTCTACAAACTTGTTCCACAATAACTAAAGATAGAAATAGATAAAAGAAAATCCAAATATAACGGAATAGAAATAAACAAATATAATGTGTTGCAATTTCAGAGAAATGCACCAATGTAGTGTTATTGATAAAACATCTCTTTTCATCCCGGCGCCCTCGGTTACATCTTGAACTTGCAGTGAGATGTCGGTGTTTTCTGTTGAAGGTCTCGCTGTGACTTTCAGATGAAAAAAAGCAAAATATTAGGATTCCTTCATGAAGTAAATACAGTTTCGAACTATATCCATTCTTTTTCATGATTATTAAAAACAACAAGTTTAATAATTTCATGCGTCCGAAGCGCTTTTCTGGATTTATCTTCATCAGGAACGCTCAATGCCAAACATTTGAAATCCGAGGGATGTAGAAGTACCGAAACAGTTGACGAGCTATATAACAAAAATACCTAAAATAAGTAGCCAAATTCATCTAAGATCAACTTTGCCTGAGGGAGTTGAAACCTTAGTTTCTTTATAATTTCAAAATTTATAAACGGACAATTTTAGAAAAGTTTGTTATAAATCATGTCAGTACCGAAGTACTGACTACTGAGCTGATGATACCCTCGGGGACTGATATTCCACCAGCAGAGGTATCGACCCAGTGATGTAAAAAATTGAAAACAACACGTTTAATAATGTCATGCGTCCGAAGCGCTTTTCTGGATTTACCTTCATCAGGAACGCTCAATGCCAAACATTTGAAATCCGAGGGATGTATAAGTACCGAAACAGTTGAAGAGCTATATGACAAAAATACCTAAAACAAATAGCCAAATTCATCTAAGGTCAACTTTGCCTGAGAGAGTTGAAACCTTAGTTTCTTTATAATTTCAAAATTTATAAAGGGACAATTTTAGAGACGTTTGTTATAAATCATGTCAGTACCGAAGTACTGACTACTGAGCTGATGATACCCTCGGGGACTGATAGTCCACCAGCAGAGGCATCGACCAAGGGATTGTAAAAAATTGAAAACAACACGTTTAATAATTTCATGCGTCCGAAGCGCTTTTCTGGATTTACCTTCATCAGGAACGCTCAATGCCAAACATTTGAAATCCGAGGGATGTATAAGTACCGAAATAGTTGAAGAGCTATATGACAAAAATACCTAAAACAAATAGCCAAATTCATCTAAGGTCAACTTTGCCTGAGGGAGTTGAAACCTTAGTTTCTTTATAATTTCAAAATTTATAAACGGACAATTTTAGAAAAGTTTGTTATAAATCATGTCAGTACCGAAGTACTGACTACTGAGCTGATGATACCCTCGGGGACTGATAGTCCACCAACAGAGGTATCGACCCAGTGATGTAAAAAATTGAAAACAACACGTTTAATAATTTCATGCGTCCGAAGCGCTTTTTATAACAGATAAACGACTGTAATACAAGAGAGAGGTTTAGTGAGCTATCAAACCTGGTTTAATCCACCATTTTCTATATAAGGAAATGCCTGTAACCAGACAGGAATGTGATAGTTGTTTTCCATTCGTTTGATGTGTTTGACCTTTTGATTTTGCCACTTGGTTATAAAGGACTTTCCGTTTTGATTTTTTTCTTGGAGTTCGGTATTTTTTTTTTATTTTAGTTTTTATTACCTGTCCCAAGTAATCATTCCAGCGATTGAGTTCGTCTTTCAGTGTCTGTGTCTTTCTTGCAAGAGTATCCTGTAAACATATTCATCGGTGATGAGGAACTTTTTTTTGTAATGATTATGTAATTATTATCTTGTGCAGTGTAAATATTGTCATTTATTTTTGGCTGTATTATATCGTGTATCTAATTATTTCCATTGTTCAGGCAACGGTGTTTTTCTTTCGAGATAGTGATTGACTTATTAGTATCTTACTTTCTTTATATAATTTTATTCCGGTCCCATCTTTAGTTTTGTCTCGACTGCAAAAAATGAACGTAGGACGTGAATAAAACGTACGATCTTCGAATCATTTGCAGGAATGTCATTTATACTGTTGACTTTTAAATCCTTTGCTTGAAAACTTTGTGAACCATGTATTTTATGAATGATTTTATCTTCTTAAACATATGAACTTTGTTTGATAATAAATGTCTGTAAAAGTTTCAGTTGAATTTATTATCATCACCTTTTAAATCTGTATAATCACATGCCTATCACCGTATAATGACCTCTTTATGTCTTGCTCACCCTTTTAAATCTCTGTAAGATTTATTCTGTATAGACACATGCCTATCACCGTATAATGACCTCTATATGTCCTGCTCACCCTTTTAAATCTCTGTAAGATTTATTCTGTATAGACACATGCCTATCATCGTATAATGACCTCTTTATGTCTTGCTCACCCTTTTAAATCTCTGTAAGATTTATACTGTATAGACACATGCCTATCACCGTATAATGACCTCTATATGTCTTGCTCACCCTTTTAAATCTCTGTAAGATTTATTCTGTATAGACACATGGCTATCACCGTATAATGACCTCTATATGTCCTGCTCACCCTTTTAAATCTCTGTAAGATTTATTCTGTATAGACACATGCCTATCACCGTATAATGACCTCTATATGTCTTGCTCATCCTTTTAAATCTCTGTAAGATTTATTCTGTATAGACACATGCCTATCACCGTATAATGACCTCTATATGTCCTGCTCACCCTTTTAAATCTCTGTAAGATTTATTCTGTATAGACACATGCCTATCACCGTATAATGACCTCTATATGTCCTGCTCACCCTTTTAAATCTCTGTAAGATTTATTCTGTATAGACACATGCCTATCACCTAATGATGACCTCTATATGTCCTGCTCCCCCTTTTAAATCTCTGTAAGATTTATTCTGTATAGACCCAATTCTTAGTATGACTTACCGGATTCATATCTTCTTCTTTCGTCTCCATAAATTCATAGAGATAATCCAACAACATTTTATGCATTAAGTTAGCCACAGCCTAGAATTAAATCAACAATACTCTCGTAAATGAATGACGGGTATAAAAATGAAACATTGATCGATGTTACAGATTTAATTGAAATGTTTTGATGATGATTGATCTTACAAAAATAATAATAAAATCATCACAAATAGAGTTTTCTGCATTTTGAATGTTATTCATGTTTTATTTTCATTATCATTTGCAAATATCCTGACAACTGTTGTTCCAATATTTAGTACACCTTTTTTTTCTAACTGCATGATTTCGAACACCCCCTCCAATATAGAATAAGCAGTTGTGCCATTAGTGCACGATACACCTTTTTGTTTTGCTTTTTGAAATTGTGCAATAATCATAAATCCTAGTTCCAAGTGTACTAGAACTAATCTGATGGTGACAGTCAATAAACCCTGGAGAATAAATCAAAAGATACCTTACTATAACCAATTCCAATAATTGTGTAAAGTTTTAAATATTAAGTTTATCCAAGAATTTTCAAGTTAGTGTACAACATGTAAAAATTAACTAAAATATGACAATTAAAGTCCAGCAACTCTTGAACGAATAACAAGGAAGGTTTCAAAATAAAAAAAGTTTCTTATAGTAAATTTAAATAACAGCTCAAAGTTTTGAGTGAATCAATCTAAGTATGCTAGTTAAGCTCCCTTTACTTTAGAACGACAAAGTAAAAACAAATTCAAAATCGAAAAGGAGCTTTTTTTAATCATTCCCATTAACAGCGTACAGTTTTAGGTAAATTCATCCAATCAAACTTGAGTTAGTGTGCGACATGTGATAAATTGCTCTAAATTTTATAGTTAAGGTCCTGTAACTCTGGAACGTCGAACCAAACAAAAATTCAAATCAATAGTGAGCTGTCTTCTATCAATCCTATTGTTGTGTTAAAATTTCCTGAGAACTGTGAGCTGTTGTATGAAGAGTTAACATACGGATGGACAGAGGGACAACGGTATACCATATTATCTCCATGACGTGTGTATAAAAAGGAGGTGTTGAATGAGACATCTATCCACCAAAGTTCAATTGATTTGGATTTAAGCATTTATGGGTAAACATAATTAAACAATGGGCATTGTATTGTCAGCTATAAAATGTTCAGATATGACAAAAATATAAAACAATTCAAACGAATCAGACGAATCAAAACTGTTTCCTACCGTTAATTGTCGTTTCAATTACATCATTCTGAATTAAAGGGCTGTACCGCGTTAACAGCCGTGTTTTTTATCTAATATTTACAGATTTAACAAGAATTATGCCTAATGTATTGTAAACATACACAATACATTTTATGTTTAACTCGAGAATTGTTATATTTGGTAAATACCGGGCAAACATGTACAAATAAAATATTTCATTAATAAATATATGTTGATGATCGAGTTGTTATAAACAAATTGTATTGTAGTTACTGACATCGTTTATGAGCAACAATCGTTACTGGTATTATAGTAAAAATAAAATACTGACCTCATTCATCCTTTGTAGAACAAGCGCCCTCTGTTTTGTACCAGATGGTATGAGTTGTGTCCCTTTATCTTTATAAGTACTCTGTAGATATACACATCAAGAATAACCATGGTAATGACTTGAAGAAAAATATATTAATATATGGCATTTTACATATCTATCGGATTATCACTCGATTCCTCGACCTATGTCTGACGCTCGACTAGAGCCTCTGTCTGAAATGAGAACCTGTGGTGGATCATGGAAAAATCCATACATTTATCTGTTGATCATGTACTTCCAATTCAAGAACGCACCCAGGCTGATAACTCATATCAGTACATCCAGGTGAAGTGAGTCTGTCCTGGGCACGTGGAGTCCGTGTAGTCCGTCTGTGTGAAGTTCGTCCGTCCACGTAAACCAGACTGAGTCCGTGCGTTTGAACGATACATTAAGTGCGAGGGTTTTATATCGAATCAAGGTCGTTAAAAAAAAACATCACCAATAAACATAATTTAAATATTATTTCTTATTGATAAAATGTCCTACTTTGATTGATCGTTGTTTAATTTACGTCCAGTGGCAAATATTTCATGCATGTTCAGGACCAGTCCTACTTTGATAATTTCCAACAGTTTACATGCTAATAATTAAAAACATTGTATTGTATTTAAATGTAGGTTATCATTTTTTTTTTATTCTAAAAACGTATTTTCATTTCATATAAATAATTGTAGACTAGTGGACAAGTTGAATGCATTAAAATGTTAGACCAATAAGACAAAAATTATTAGACCAAACATACCTCAAGATATTCACATATTGCACCAGACTCATTAACGACCACCTCTCCGTCTGTAAACGTCGGTACCTATAATCATGATAATATTACTTACAGACTGAAATACTGAAACAAATATAATACATTGAACAACAAACATCTCCATCGGAAAACGTTGGTTTATAACAAAACCGAAGAAATATTTTTCAGAGCCTATTCCCTTGAACCTATTCCACATGATTTTTTTTTAATTTTGGTGATTGAAGTCGTTAGATAGACAGGAATGCTGCACTCGCGAAAAAATTCACACATATCTTATTTTTTGAATGAATAAAATAACAAATAAAGGCTGAAATTGGAAAATGACTTCAGTAAATTCTCTACACATTTAGATGTATTTTGTCACGTATGGGGGTCCATACATGATGATGTTAGAACCTCGGTTAGAACTTCCGTAATATAATATTTTATAAGATATTAATGTACGATGTACGGTAATTATAGTTTTAAGTTTAAGATAAAGTAGTGCAATTAAATATTGCTTATTGCATAGAACATGTATAAAGTGTCTTCGCAGTGATTATGTGTGTGCTAAATATGAATATAGATCACTTACCTCTCCTCTGGGGTTAAGTTTTAGGACGTCTCCTCCTTTCATTTCATTGTTGTCAAATGAAATTAATTTATTTTTATATCCACTGAATCCTTTCTCCTCCAAAGCAATCATTGCTTTCCAACACGGTACACTACCAGAACCCCAGTACAGAAACATATTCTCAGCCATTGTGTGTCTGTTTTTACGTGACAAAACAGAAGTGTTCAGCGATCGATACGGCAAGATTAGGAAACGTATGGAAATGCGGGACATTGTGTGTGCGGTTAAGATGTAGTACGATTTGATAACAAACGTCTGTTTTTAAAGATATACTATCAAGTTGTTTCATTTCATACTCGCAACCTTATAAATTCTTGTGATTACGATCATTAGTTTATTAAATAATATAGGTTCAAAAGGAATGAGTTAAGTACGAGAGCAAAGGATAAAGAAATTGTGATTTCCAAATTAATCAAATTTCAAATCATTATTCATGATATTCAAATTTGAATTGGACCACGTGAAAAATTATTATAGTCCTATCAAGCTGGGGCATGTTTTTTTTTTATAATTGCTAGATTCTTAATTTCTTGTAAATTTTAAATTATTCAATCAATATAATTTGTTTCAGAAGGGCGGTGAATAAAGTTTAGGAAGAGTGGGTGGTATCAAGAGGCAAAGATTTTTTTTCCACAGGAAAAAAAAATACCAACCCCTCCCCCACCACAACCACACAAAGACACATCCACACATTCTCTCAAAAAACACATAAAAAATGAATGTTAAATGGCGGGAGAGTTGTACTGAAGTTAACATTCTAGTCTGGGATAAAATGGATTATTTATAAGTGGACATTGCACTTTGAACGAGCTTTCCATAACTGCAATTACTCTTAAATCGATAATTTGTGTTTATTGTATTTTTGTTATTTGCTTTTCGTGCTTAGGACCGATTTAATCAGTCATTTCCAACTGATCAGATGTTGTGTTGTTGCATCACTGTCTCATTTTAGAGGACATATGAGCGATCAAAAACTTGTTAAACCCCGCCACATTCTGTATGTACTTCTACCAATCGTGTGGTTCAATGGTTGTCGTAGGTCGACGTCTGTCATATTTTTTTTTTTTTTTTTTTTTTCATTTCTGTTGTTTAATCAGGCCCTGGTCTTCTCTTTGAATTATTTCACATTTTTTCATGCTAGGTCTTTTAAAGTTTGACGGTATAAGTTTTGCTGATTGTCACACATCTTTGCCTTTCATCATGAGCAATCGTTGTGTCATAGGCAATCGTACCAAATGTTTTCATTTACATACAATTCCTAAAACTAACAATTTATAACCTGTATTGCATTCACAACTGACATTTTGAACATTGAAAGAGAGATATACTGATTGATTTATTGTTACTTTACGCACAGTGGCAAATATATTATACATATTCAGGACGAGAACAAATTAACAATTAATACAATAGGTACATGTAGTGCTTAAGGAAGGTGAACTGAGAAGAAGAGTCAGAAATTTTTGTCAGGGTTCTTTAACGTGTAGAGAGCATGGTAATCACCCTACACAAAGCATCTGATGGAAAGATCTCGACAGAACGTTGTCGCGTATTTATAAATGCCGCACAGTCAAACCGATGCCCCACTATAGCAAGGGTTTTTCTATCGCACTAGTGAATTCCACGGATTATGATATCTTGACCCGTGTCAACCCTTAGAGATAGAATGCACACAGCATTACTACTCAGTAATTGTCGAAACAAGATTTACAATGAGTGAGTGATTGGATAGGTGTGAAGTTTACATCCTTACATGTATGTTTTGTCCTGTACATATTGTCTTGTCTTGTGTTAACCATGTTTGTAAAATTGTGAATCTGTATACATCCATATTGAGGAGACCCACACGTAGCCTCTGGCTGTTGGCAATCCTCTTTAAATAAATAAAGAATTAAATTTAGATCTACAAACAAGTCGACATGACCGAAATCTTAAATTGACTTCCTATAGAAGTTGTTGTCTTTAGATAATATTTTTTATTGATTTTTGCCTTTTGGAAAACAATAAAAGATTGAAAGAACTTTAAACAGTAGAAATGATCAACATGAGAGGATCTTCAGAAGAATAATAGATTGAAAGAACTTTAAACAGTAGAAATGATCAACATGAGAGGATCTTCAGAAGAATAATAGATTGAAAGAACTTTAAACAGTAGAAATGATCAACATGATTGGATCTTCAAGTTCAGAATAATAATAGAACTGTTCAATGGACTTCGTTGATGAGTTCTCTTTAATGATATTTTTTACTTATTTAATTTGCAGTGTTATTTATATAGTGAACTCATTTTTGCAACTCTAATAAAAACAAAACAGTAAGTATAAGCATACAAATGATCAGATATAAAACTTCTACAAATAAATCAGCATGACTGAATTATTAGAATGTCCTTTTATGGTTAAAAGGCCATATTTACTTTTATATTAGAATTAATTGGAGACGTGAAATGATGCCAATGAAAGATAACCACTGATGTTCCGAAAGGTTTTATTGTTGCATATATTTTTTACAAGGATGGTTCAGGCTAAGCTATTTATATACTATAATGTCGTTACTATGCGTATGGTATATATGCAAACATAAGTTAGTACGTACGAACTGATCTTTAAAATTAGGAAACGCATATGCTCTTCCATGCTTGTCGAGCCTGCGACATTTATGTAGCGGGAACGAGACATTGCAATCATGGATTCTGTCATCGGCGTCGTCGTCAACATTTAGGTTCAGTTTGTGGTTAAAGTTCTTTTAGACATCAATAACTTTGTCAAACCTTAATAGACTTTCTGAAATGCACAGAGGCCTCGAGCATCACTGAAGAGACATTCATTGTCGAAATGCGCATCTGGTGCAGAAACATTGGTACCGTTAATGTTATTACTTCCACTGGGGCGATGCCTCTACTGTTGGACTGTTAGTCCCCGAGGTTATCACCAGCCCAGTAGCCAGAACTTCGGTACTTGCATGTAAATACGGATTTTGTGTTATTCAAATTTGCTGTTACAAAATTTTAGCAATTATTCTAAATTAAGGAATATATCTTCCTCATGCAAAGCTCTGATTCCTTGCGCGGCTTTGGCTATACTTTTTTGTCCTTTTTGGTTTATAGCTCTTCATCTTTTTAATAAGCTTTGGATTTTTAATTTGGCCTCGAGCATCACTGAAGATACATTAATTGTCGAAATGCGCATCTGGTGCAGAAAAATTGGTACCGTTAATGCTATTAGTCTTTTGCATTTAACAAATAGATACAGTCTGGAGTAAAATTTTGTAGAACACCAATTACTTTGTCAAACCTTGTTAAAATTTTATGAAACATTGTCAGCAGCCATTTTTTATGATTGAGAGATATTGTCTGAAGCACAATTTAAAAAAAATATACTTTTTCCAGGAAATTACTGATAGATGTACTTTTTGCAGTTAACATTGACTGACAGTTTGGGATTAAATAATTTTTATGATAAATTCATAAACCTTCATGGATTGTTATGTAACTTGGACAGATGCTTATATTCAAGATCAAGAAATAGCATCTAAAGATTTTTTTTTTTTATTTCAATTCCGCATTTTATTGATAAATGGGCTCACGCGTTTACCCTGAAAGTATCGCTGCAATCGCAATCGTAGGCGACACACAGGGTTCCGCACAACCCTTTACAAATTTCATTGTTATTTTTCAGATTGACAGTTTCTAAACTCTTTTTGGTGGAACTTAGTGATGATGTTGTTGTTTGCACTTCGTTTGAAAACTAAAGAAAGGTATTCAAGATAATATGAATACGTTTGTGCTTGCCGGATTTTTGTTTTTTATACGAATCATTTTATTCGATTTACATTTGTGTATACTATGAAGTTATTCAATAGTCTCAAGGTTTATACCTTTAATCGTCGTCGCCGTATATTTCGTTGTTTTTTCAAGAGTGTGTGTGTATTGGGACAGCATATGCATAATTAACAAAGTTCTATCTTTAATAAGTATTTGATTTGCAGTGTTATTTATATAGTGAACTCTAATGACGTTCCCTCCATGCATTCAGTTCTTGTTCTCCGAGTCTTGGAAACGAATTACATGGCTGTCTGTGTATTCTGAAATAAACATTGTATATATCACTGAATCATTGAGGATTATTTGATAACTACTTTATCGTTACAAAATATCGAAGAAAAGCATGTCTCATAATTCAAAGCATGTCTCATAATTCAAAGCATGTCTCATAATACAAAGCATGTCTCATAATACAAAGCATGTCTCATAATTCAAAGCATGTCTCATAATACAAAGCATGTCTCATAATTCAAAGCATGTCTCATAATACAAAGCATGTCTCATAATTCAAAGCATGTCTCATAATACAAAGCATGTCTCATAATTCAAAGCATGTCTCATAATTCAAAGCATGTCTCATAATTCAAAGCATGTCTCATAATTCAAAGCATGTCTCATAATACAAAGCATGTCTCATAATACAAAGCATGTCTCATAATTCAAAGCATGTCTCATAATTCAAAGCATGTCTCATAATACAAAGCATGTCTCATAATTCAAAGCATGTCTCATAATACAAAGCATGTCTCATAATTCAAAGCATGTCTCATAATTCAAAGCATGTCTCATAATTCAAAGCATGTCTCATAATACAAAGCATGTCTCATAATACAAAGCATGTCTCATAATTCAAAGCATGTCTCATAATTCAAAGCATGTCTCATAATACAAAGCATGTCTCATAATACAAAGCATGTCTCATAATTCAAAGCATGTCTCATAATTCAAATCATGTCTCATAATTCAAAGTCTTAAAATATCAAGCAGGAAGTTGAGCATTATGCATTAGTTACTCTTGTAAATTAGTTTAAACTGAAACTACAACTTTCATCTAAACTGATTATAAATGCATGGCTGACTGACGAATTATAAATCCTAACGATTTTAACTCCGTGGCAAAGCTAGCCTGATGTGTGATTTGCTAAATTGGTTGGTCCCGCCATGAAACTCCTCAAGTTTTCAAATATTTAAACATCCGTAACCTTTATTGTTTTGAGGACTGGGCGTTCTTGATGAAGATAAATCCAGAAACGTGCTTTTGACGCACTAAATTTCAATTATTTTGTTTTTTGTTGTGTGAGGTCTCGGATTTTAAAATTGGTCTCAATTATCTTTATAGAAACCGTATGCGTCGCAATGCGCCTCTAAAGCAGTATAATTGGTACGTATCTTTGAAGAAACCGTATGTGTCTCAATGCGCCTCTAAAGCAGTATAATTGGTACCACGTATCTTTGAAGAAACCGTATGTGTCGACATGCGCCTCTAAAGCAGTATAATTGGTACGTATCTTTGAAGAAACCGTATGTGTCTCAATGCGCCTCTAAAGCAGTATAATTGGTACCACATATCTTTGAAGAAACCGTATGTGTCGACATGTGCCTCTAAAGCAGTAAAATTGGTCTCAAGTATCTAAAGAAACCGTATGTGTCGCAATGCGCCTCTTAAGCAGTATAATTGGTACCACGTATCTTTGAAGAAACCGTATGTGTCTCAATGCACCTCTAAAGCAGTATAATTGGTACCACGTATATTCGAAGAAACAGTATGTGTCGGCATGCGCCTCTAAAGCAGTATAATTGGTACCACGTATCTCTGAAGAAACCGTATGTGTCTCAATGCGCCTCTAAAGCAGTATAATTGGAACGTATATTTGAAGAAACCGTATGTGTCTCAATGCGCTGCTAAAGCAGTATAATTGGTACGTATCTTTGAAGAAACCGTATGTGTCGCAATGCGCCTCTAAAGCAGTATAATTGGTACCACGTATCTTTGAAGAAACCGTATGTGTCTCAATGCGCCTCTAAAGCAGTATAATTGGTACCAAGTATCTTTGAAGAAACCGTATGTGTCTCAATGCGCCTCTAAAGCAGTATAATTGGTACCACGTATCTTTGATGAAACCGTATGTGTCGACATGTGCCTCTAAAGCAGTAAAATTGGCCTCAAGTTTCTTTGAAGAAACCGTATGTGTCTCAATGCGCCTCTAAAGCAGTATAATTGGTACGTATCTTTGAAGAAACCGTATGTGTCGCAATGCGCCTCTTAAGCAGTATAATTGGTACCATGTATCTTTGAAGAAACCGTATGTGTCTCAATGCGCCTCTAAAGCAGTATAATTGGTACGTTTCTTTGAAGAAACCGTATGTGTCGCAATGCGCCTCTAAAGCAGTATAATTGGTACCACGTATCTTTGAAGAAACCGTATGTGTCTCAATGCGCCTCTAAAGCAGTATAATTGGTACGTATCTTTGAAAAAACCGTATGTGTCGCAATGCGCCTCTAAAGCAGTATAATTGGTACCACGTATCTTTGAAGAAACCGTATGTGTCGACATGTGCCTCTTAAGCAGTATAATTGGTTCTATGTATCTTTGAAGAAACAGTATGTGTCGACATGTGCCTGTAAAGCAGTATAATTGGTACGTATTAATATCTTTGAAGAAACCGTATGTTTCGACATGTGCCTCTTAAGCAGTATAATTGGTACCACGTATCTTTGAAGAAACCGTATGTGTCTCAATGCGCCTCTAAAGCAGTATAATTGGTACCATGTATCTTTGAAGAAACAGTATGTGTCGACATGTGCCTCTTAAGCAGTATAATTGGTACCACGTATCTTTGAAGAAACAGTATGTGTCGACATGTGCCTCTAAAGCAGTATAATTGGTACCACATATCTTTGTAGTATAATTGGTACCACGTATCTTTGTAGTATAATTGGTACCACATATCTTTGTAGTATAATTGGTACCACATATCTTTGTAGTATAATTGGTACCACGTATCTTTGTAGTATAATTGGTACCACATATTTTTGTAGTATAATTGGTACCACATATCTTTGCAGTATAATTGGTACCACATATCTTTGTAGTATAATTGGTACCACGTATCTTTGCAGTATAATTGGTACCACGTATCTTTGTAGTATAATTTGTACCACATATCTTTGCAGTATAATTGGTACCACATATCTTTGTATGCAGTATAATTGGTACAACATATCTTTGTAGTATAATTGGTACCACATATCTTTGTAGTATAATTGGTACCACATATCTTTGCAGTATAATTGGTACCACATATCTTTGTAGTATAATTGGTACCACATATCTTTGTAGTATAATTGGTACCACATATCTTTGTAGTATAATTGGTACCACGTATCTTTGTAGTATAATTGGTACCACATATCTTTGTAGTATAATTGGTACCACATATCTTTGTATGCAGTATAATTGGTACCACGTATCTTTGTAGTATAATTGGTACCACATATCTTTGTAGTATAATTGGTACCACATATCTTTGTATGCAGTATAATTGGTACCACGTATCTTTGTAGTATTATTGGTACCACATATCTTTGTAGTATAATTGGTACCACATATCTTTGTATGCAGTATAATTGGTACCACGTATCTTTGCAGTATAATTGGTACCACGTATCTTTGTAGTATAATTGGTACCACGTATCTTTGTAGTATAATTGGTACCACATATCTTTGTAGTATAATTGGTACCACATATCTTTGTATGCAGTATAATTGGTACCACATATCTTTGTAGTATAATTGGTACCACGTATCTTTGTAGTATAATTGGTACCACATATCTTTGTAGTATAATTGGTACCACGTATCTTTGCAGTATAATTGGTACCACGTATCTTTGTAGTATAATTGGTACCACGTATCTTTGTAGTATAATTGGTACCACATATCTTTGTAGTATAATTGGTACCACGTATCTTTGATGAGTTTTTATCTGTTGTTATTTCAATGTTTTACTGCAGATATTTCCGTACTGCTTTGACAATTCACCTACGACCAATTAACATCAGTAAGTCTATTTTCAAAATGTTCAGTGTTTATTATTTACCAATGCAAAACAATATAAACTAAACTCTAAAAAGATCTGGATTGACTAACAGAAAAACCATGAATAACAACATTCACAGAAACGGATACCATATTACATATTTATGAATAATACGTAAAAATTATTCAGATAATGTAAGCAACTAAATGACCGCTATATTTCAAGGCAAATAATTCACTTAAAAGATTCTTTTAACACGAATATATTAAGGAAGGTTTTAAAAAAGTACAAAAAAAACTTTTCCACAACAAAACATTATACAGAAGGAGATTAAGTAATTCAAAAAGTTATTATAATGATTATATACACATAAGACTAAATAGAGATCATGAGTAAACGCCAATCCGAAAAAAAAAATGCATTGCCATCACAAATATCTAGTGGTCATTAATAATAAAAGACCTGAGCCTACACCGTACATTGAACTGTAGCGCCTTCACCATACACTAAGCTGTAGCCCTTCACCGTACACTAAACTGTAGATATCCCCATGTCAAGATAAATTGTTAATACTATCATACCTTTCTTTACACCTAAAAATATATTTTAATATAATTAATGACAAGCACAAAAGAATTGAAGTAAGTACAAATATAAATTAATTCTGCAATAAGCTATAGAAAGATATCTTAAACAATTACACAACACTCTACGTATATTCAATGCAATAAGCACGTTATAGAAAAATAAAACAACTCTATGAAAGTATATTTATTTCTTTAAAAAGACAGAAGGAAACTGCAAAATTTGACAGATGAGTAAAAAACTAATGAGAGGTAGCTATTTTAAAGTCACAGTTGAAAATGCCCATGGAATAAGTATCGTCCATCTTCATTTAAGCAATTCATGGACTTCACAGTTTAGAAAAGAATCATAGTGAGATTCAACAGTTTAATAGGTCTCCGGTTTTAGCATTGTCCCAGATCACTACAAACCAATGAGCAGTATTTGTACTCGACTGTACTGATTCGTACTCAACCATTCTGAATTAATAAGTATGAATTTTACTGGAAATTACTTGACCCCTATCTTATCTTAAAGATACTCGACTGTACTTATTTGTACTCGACCCTAATCTGGACCATGATTAAAAGCCTGATCTAGTACTCAATCAATAAATCATTCTCAACTTTGCATTACCCGTTTATAACCTGTTTTCAATGTCTGAACCATACTTGAGTAAATGTCTGAACTGTACTCCACCAATTCTAAATCATACTTGACCAATTTATTTCTAATTAGTTCATCTTGATTTTGTGATTTTCTATGATTTCAAACTAAACAATACTTCTCTCTGGTTTCCTATAAGTTTTGAACAAATTGCAATTTAGACTTGCATTGATTATCTTGATGATGAATAAAAAAAATGTATTATACACAAATAATTTAATTTTGGACGTAACACGTCTGGCTGAAAGTTTTTTGTCTTTCACCTCATAGACATAATTTTGTCATATGACCGTGACGTCATCAACATTTTTTCATGATTTACTCCTTAAAAATGGAATTTAGAATTAAATCATAAGGAATGACTGTAATATTTTTCTGTCTATTCGAAATAAACTCAAAAATGTCGTGCACACTTTTAAATAACCCGCTACGCTATTGTATTTCTTCGTAGACAGAAAAAATATTACAGTCATTCCTCAATTACATTTAGAACTAAATTGTATATGATGTCTCTATATAAATACAAGCATATATCGCTGTGAGATTAAGAAATAATTTACGATTGACCTTCTTGGAAGGCATGCTTCGAATGATTGCGAAAACAGTAATAGGCATGTCATACATCTTTTTTTTTTAAATACTTCCATGTAGATTAAAGTTTCAGTTGGATAGACAACCGCGGAATTGAAATATAACTACAGTTTGCGACCGAGTGTCATTACTCAAAAATGAAAGTTGTGTTATATCAAGGTATACAGGTAATTTTTCTTCAGAGACATGTGCTTGTGTCTGGAAGTTGTGAATTCAATACCGTGAACAGATACATCTACCTACCCTGGAAGTTGTGAATTCAATACAGTGAACAGATGACCTACTTATCCTGGAAGTTGTGAATTCAATACCGTGAACAGATGACCTACTTACCCTGGAAGTTGTGACTTTAATACCATGTACAGATACACCTAACTAGCTGGAATTTGTGAATTCAATACCATGTACAGATACACCTACTCTTCTTTTTTGAAATAGTTATTTGTTTTTATAGTGATTAAGATTATAACACAATGTTGACTGCTGTACCCTAATTTTTGACATTTTTACCTATTATGTCAGTTTGCTTTGCTCACACATTTTTGTTAGTATAATGGAATTCTATATGACTGTCATACAAGTGAGAGCTTTATCTAGCTATAAAACCAGGTTTTATCCACCATTTTGTACTTAAGGAAATGCCTGCACCAAGTCAGGAATATGACAGTTGTTTTCCATTCGTTTGATGTGTTTGAGTTTTTGATTTTGTCATTTGATAAGGGACTTTCCGTTTTGAATTTTCCATGGAGCTCGGTATTTTTGTTATTTTACTATTTCCCGTTGAAGTTGTGAACTCAATATCGTGTACAGATACAACTACTTACTTTGGAAGTAGTGAATTTAATATCGTGTACAGATACACCTACTTACCGTTGAAGTTGCGAATTCAGCACTATGTATATATATACACCTTTTTGTTCTAGAAGTTTCGAATTCAATATCAAGTACAGATGAACCTACTCACCCTGGAATTTGTGAATTTAATACCATGTACAGATAAACCTACTTACCCTGAAAGTTGTGAATTAAATGTCATGTACAGATAAACTCGCTTACCATGGAAGTTGTGAATTAACTGTCATGTACAGATAAACCTGCTTACCTTGGAAGTTGTGAATTAAATGTCATGTACATATAAACCTACTTACCATGGAAGTCGTTATTTAAATACCGTGTACAGATAAACAGACTTAACCCTGAAGTTGTGAATTTAATACCATGTAGAGATTTACATAATTACCATAAAAGTTGTGAATTCAATACCCTGTGCAAATAATCTACTTACCGTGGAGGTCGTAAATTAAATACCATGTACAGATAAACCTACCTACTCTAGAAGTTGTGAATTAAATACCATGTAAAAACCTCAGACTTACCCTGGAAGTCGTACATTAAAACAATGTACAGATTAAATAGACTTACCCTGGAAGTGGTGAAACAAAAGCTTTTGGTTGCACGGAATGTATGTCAGTGTTTCGACATAACAAAGAAGACAATGACTGCTGTTTGATTATATTTAACTGTTCTGTAAAAGTCAGATAAACACGCAATTAATGAAGACAAAAATATGCATGCTAGACATTTTTAACACAAACAAAAAAAGAAATTACACATAGACAATGCGAATGCTGCGGAAAAAAACAAGATGTGAGTATACTTGATAGCATGTTGGATTTTTTTCTCTCACTATCTTAAAGGTAACATTCGCTCACATTTTAAATATGTTTTTTTTTTTGTTATGATAGGAATACTTGGCTTTGCCTTGCCCGAAATATTTTTTTTCTCGTTTTTAACAAAAGATATGTGGATATTTCTGTCCGTTTTTACTTTACAATTGAGACAACAGTAGTTTACTAATGGTCGTATAGACAGCAGTAGTTTACTAATGGTCGTATAGACAGCAGTAGTTTACTAATGGTCGTATAGACAGCAGTAGTTTACTAATGGTCGTATAGACAACAGTAGTTTACTAATGGTCGTATAGACAACAGTAGTTTACTAATGGTCGTATAGACAACAGTAGTTTACTAATGGTCGTATAGACAACAGTAGTTTACTAATGGTCGTATAGACAGCAGTAGTTTACTAATGGTCGTATAGACAACAGTAGTTTACTAATGGTCGTATAGACAACAGTAGTTTACTAATGGTCGTATAGACAACAGTAGTTTACTAATGGTCGTATAGACAGCAGTAGTTTACTAATGGTCGTATAGACAACAGTAGTTTACTAATGGTCGTATAGACAGCAGTAGTTTACTAATGGTCGTATAGACAGCAGTAGTTTACTAATGGTCGTATAGACAGCAGTAGTTTACTAATGGTCGTATAGACAGCAGTAGTTTACTAATGGTCGTATAGACAGCAGTAGTTTACTAATGGTCGTATAGACAGCAGTAGTTTACTAATGGTCGTATAGACAACAGTAGTTTACTAATGGTCGTATAGACAACAGTAGTTTACTAATGGTCGTATAGACAGCAGTAGTTTACTAATGGTCGTATAGACAGCAGTAGTTTACTAATGGTCGTATAGACAGCAGTAGTTTACTAATGGTCGTATAGACAGCAGTAGTTTACTAATGGTCGTATAGACAGCAGTAGTTTACTAATGGTCGTATAGACAGCAGTAGTTTACTAATGGTCGTATAGACAGCAGTAGTTTACTAATGGTCGTATAGACAGCAGTAGTTTACTAATGGTCGTATAGACAGCAGTAGTTTACTAATGGTCGTATAGACAGCAGTAGTTTACTAATGGTCGTATAGACAACAGTAGTTTACTAATGGTCGTATCTCATAATCCATGAAGAAGATACAAATCAAGGAATCAAAAAATAAAAACATTAAGATTCGTATAAATTCCAAAATATGCGAGACCGGGCGTCGTCAGGTGAAGCATGTCCTGCTATAATAGAACAGAAAGGCTATAAGGTATCCATCCGTCACAAAAAAAAATCAGTACAAAGCAAAATACACAAAAAAGCAAAGGAACATCGCTTCTATTGTTGTTCTTCATCTTAAAGTCACAGTAAGGCCTTCAACACAGAGCAAAAACTCTCACTTTAAGACGCCCCTAGCACCGGGTCTCTTTCCATGCATGTATCACCTCCCACACGAATCCACACTTATTCGAAACATCATAATTGGGAATATTACACAATAGGTACATTTATTTTACATATGTTTAATCAGCAATTCTAGTATCTAACGATCTAAGACCTCAAAAGCATGTCGTAAGTGAGTTGAGACACAGACAAATCGTATCAGTCAACAAATTTAGGATGTGACCGTAAAATATATGTAGTGTCGATTTGAAAGATAATTATGTAACAGTAACCTTTTTGATATTTTTGACAACATTAAAAAAACTGACTGTCAATAGTGAATAATCATTCAACATTTTATTTGCTAATGTTTGAAAATAGATGAACCATGTTTTTTTTAAATTATGCTTACAAAACCGTAGCTAATGCCCCATTAAACTGAATATCTTGATGTTTAAAAAATGTGTAATTCTTTTTTTGTTCTCGTCGATTGTGGATGTCGCTTTTTACTGTTTCGGAGTCATAACCATTTTGGGAGGGGGTGATGATACATCAATAAGCGGAGTCTACATTAATTGAATGTTATTTACCTTAAAATTCAGGTCCAGTTTAAGTCTGTTTTTGGCTATATCACGGGCCAGGTCATTTATTGGTGGAGGAAGATGGAGTGCCTTGATATTTACATGTTGAGTTGATGGTGCTCAATGTTAAGATTTTATTTTGGTTTTTCATGGTGTTGTCTATTTGTTGATTTTTGATTTTTTTTTCGACATACGGTTTTCTATTGTCCTTGGTATCTTTTCCCTATTGTTTGATCAAGTGAGACAAACTTTTTCAAGCAGAGTCGACCAAAGAAGGTTTGTGTTTTTATGTCTTATTTAATTCATGTCATGAGCATGGAAATATGTATCATGTTTTTTTGTCAGTACCACTGTGTGTGATCAATCAGTATTGCTTTCATACAAGAAAGTCTCCTTAAATGCAAAATAACAGTATTTACAAATGCATTATCTTTACTTACCAATAGTAAATCCGGTATGCGGAAATTCATTTTCATAGTAAAATCTGTCACCTATTTTGTACATTAAGAACTGTAAGCCTATAAGACAACCAAATGTTGGTCCGACTAATGAACCTTTTAGGCGAGTTTCCGACAGTCCCCCAGAATATAAATCAATGTCATCAGGATGTCTGTATAAGAAGAAAACATCTTAAACGCTGGTTCTTGTCATGTAAAATTACTCAATTAGATGACATATATATATAAAGATCGTTGGCTAATATCTAGACGTTATATATATATATATATATATATTCCTAACAATGTAATTTTAACACTCTATTTAGTATGTAAATATTAAAATGTTAAAAATATTTATAATGCAATAAAAAATAAACGCAATATTTCGCTAGACTAACTAGCTTCATCGAGCGTGCAACTATCTAGGTGAAATCGGATGCAGATAAGAAACTTTTGCAGCTCATTATACACGAAATTTGCTGCCTTGTAAATAATTCAAAGTTTTTCAGTAAGCCCATCCGGTTCTAAAGTATTGAGCTGGTGAATCCAAAAGTTTTCTCTTCGCCATGGTGTCCCACTCAGTGTTCACTTCTTTCATTTGGAAAGTAACATTATCAAAAGGATGTTTTTTTTTAGCGAAGATGTCTTGTTAGATGACAGTTCTTGTCGGTTTTGTACCATGATCGATGGTTATTTAGCCGAATATTAATTTTGTCCATTGTTTCTTCCACGTACTGAATGCCACCGGTGTTACATGTTAATACATAAATTGAGTTCTCCGTTTAACAGTTGGAATTTGTGTAGATGGTATAACTTTGTTTTGAAAAGGAGCTTATGGAAGAACTGCTAGTATTGGCAGCTTTACAACATAAGCAATTCCTTCTCCCACATGGTTTGTAGCAACCGGGAGTTGTAGTAGGTTGCTTTGTTAATACAGCTGTCACAAATTTGTCACGGATGTTTTTAAGCCTTCTGAAGGCCATGACTGGTAGTCAGGATAATACTTTTTTTTCAAATTTGAGTCATTCTGTATAATTTTCGAACAATCGATGACACATTTTTAAAATCAGAATGGTAAGTGAGTACAAAAGGTGTTCTGTTGACTCCTTTATTCTCATCCTTTTACATGAATTTTATTGCCCGATAAAGAATTCAAAGTTTGGATGAAATTCAAGATTATTTATTTAATTACAAAATTTGTGGTTGAAGTTAGCAACATCCATTGGCCAATATTACAGAGATATAAAGGACGATGATGTATAATTAATTATTCTTTATCTTTCCTGTATCTTTCCTCGTCTTTTTCATTAAGCCCATCAGGTTCTAAAGTATGGAGCTGGTTGATCCAAAAGTTTTCTCTTTTCCTTCTCGCCGTGGTGTCCCACTCAGTGTTCACTTCTATATTGGAAAGTTACATTATCAAAAGGATTTTGTACCATGATAGATGGTTATTTAGCCGAATATTAAATTTCTCCATTGTTTCTCCCACGTACTGAATGCCACATGTGTTACATGTTAATACATAAATTGAGTTCTCCGTTTTACTGATGGAATTTGTGTAGATGGTATAACTTTGTTTTGTAAAGGGGCTGATGAAAGAACTGCTAGTATTGGCAGTTTTACAACATAAGCAATTCCTTCTTCCACATTGGAAGGTGGAGTAGGTTGCTTTGTTAATACAGCTGTCACTAATTTGTCACGGATGTTTTTTGGTCTTCTGAAGGCCATGACTGGTAGTGAGGAAAATACTTTTTTCAAATTGGAGTCATTTTCTATAATTTTCCAATGCTTTTGAACAATGGATGACACATCTTTAAAATCAGGATGGTAAGTGAGTACAAAAGGTGTTCTGTTGACTCCTTTATTCTTATCCTTGTACTCCAGAAGTTCTTGGTGGCTAGTTCTGTTTGCTTTTTTGAAAGCTGTATCAATGCTGTTGTTATTGTATCCTATAAAAACTAGATGTGTACGTAGTAGTCAAAGTCTAGCATTTTGCTTATTTTCAGTTGAGCATATTCTCTTGATTCGCAATGCCCGACTGAAAGGGATACTGCTAGGATGGGAACTTTTAGGATAGAGAAATTGATGTTTGTCTGTTTTCTTCGTATGGAGATCCGTTATAATGGTTCCGTTCTGGATGTAACTCGTAGTATCAAGGAAGTTTTTTTTCTCCATTGATGTTTCGTGTGAAAATTTAATTGAATGGTGGAAAGAGTTACAGTGTTCTAGAAATTCATTCAGATGGTCTAGTGCCGTTTATCTGTAGATAGTGTTTGTCATTGAAAGAGAAGTTGTTGTTCTCCAGCACTAGTTTCAGAAGTGTAACAAGGCACTCAGTTTGTTTGTCACTACGATTGTTCCATACCTCTTCACACGCTGCTATTCCTTCGTCTTGTGGAATATTGGTTTATAAAGAAGACACGTTCATGGATGCGAGTATAGTATTGTTTGGAAAAGGATTAAGGCTTTCCATTTTCTTTAAATAATCAGTCGTATCCTGAATGTAAGAGGGGAATTCTTTAACATGAGGTCTTTAAAAGTGATGATCTACAAATCCAGATATCTTTTCAGTTGGGTTATTATTTGCTGACACAATAGGCCTACCTGGATTGCCAGTTTTGTGTAATTTAGGCAACATATAGAATCTTCGAGCCTTGGCCTCGTTCGCAAGAGGTCGAAGATAATCAAAGGTGTCATTATCGATATGCTTTTGGTCGTACATCTCTTGAAGGGTGCTGTTAATCTTTCGAATGGTATTTTGTGTTGGATCTTTGGTTAGTTGCTTGTAAAAATTGGAGTTTGACAGTTGACGATTCCCCTCTTCTATGTTATTATAGGCACTTATATATATATATATATTTATATATATATTCATAATTACTCTAAATATCAGCACAACAATGTTAAATCTGAAAATTTTCTTCGTTCTTCCCTCGCCGGGATTCGAAATTATGCTGTTGAGATATCGAGACAACAATTTATTTAATCCCATGAAAGGTAGACCCGATAAAATCATTTATGTAGTGAGTGTAAACACTGTCAATAATAGATGTTTGATAATTAGATGTGAATTCAAAGTTAAAGAAAATCAAAATTAAAAGCATTAGGTACATGGAAGCATTACAATTCAATCTTACTTGTATATCATTTGCAAGGCTAGGGCAGCCCTTTTTTCTTGGTCTACAAGTCCTGTTGGTCCAGCAAAAAAGGTCAAAGCAGGTTGTAAACCACAGTGTCGTCTGAAGCTGTTGTATGATGGTATTCCATGATCTCGACCTCTCTGAATATTCAGAGCACTATTTCAAATATAACATAATAAGATTTGTTTTTAATTAAGGGAAGCCGACATTTTGAATTCCGAAATGAATTGACATGTCATTTCTCCAATGATAAGCAAACAAACTCACATTTTGCAACTAAAATTTTCTTTTTATCAAATTTTATTACATTTTGAGGCGGGCAAAAAGTCCGAAATCGCCTGGTGTTTACGTTTGACACCGGAAGCATACCTATGACGTCACCTTGTGTAGGTGCAAAAGAAGATAACAAAATTTCGTGGAATTTTCGTTTATTAATTTTTTATCAAATTCTAATATGACGTTCTTATTTCGTTTTGGAAACAAAGCCATGTTCTAATTCGAATAAAACATGGACTGCACGTGAATGACTTCACAATTAAAATTGCAACGTCAGTGGTATTTTAAACAACGCCAAAGATAAAACATTAATGGACATTTGTATTGGTGTTGCTTGCTTGGAAATTAAATAAAATTCCTCTAAAAGTAAGTTTGCATGTACCTGATAATTCTTTATCGTTAAACGGTTAATTTTCGATATCGTTTTGGCTTCATCAAATCAAAATGACTGCCTTTCGAACGTGTATTATAGGTCCGCTTCAGATGATAAAAGTTCTAAATTTTCCTATTAGAATCGAAATAATTCTAACATGGCGTGCTCTATGCTCATTTGAACATGGGTAGGCATTATATATGTCAACATTTTACACATCGCTAACGTTCGGTTTAAAGATATTGACAAATATAATGCCTACCCATGTTAAAATGAACAAGAGCATGGCATGAAAGAATTATTTCTTAAACAATGACTAAAATTGAATGGTTTGTTTATGTTGCATTATAATAGAGATAACTGTATTGTATTTGAAGTTTTGCTGACATCCATCTGTAGTTTTCTTGTCGCAAATTGAGTTTAACTGGCGACGCGTAATCTCTTAAATATATTTTTATGATCTGTCTATCAATGAAAATGTTATGAATTTAATAAAAATATTTGATGTCATTTTATATATTTATTTTATGTCTATGCAATTCGACAAAGGTCATTTCAGTTTTCTAAATTTTATCTTATAACGACATATTTTTCTTTGATTCTTCTATATAAGCTTACCCTCATGGGCAGAGTTTGTGTTGTTTTATTACTCCAAAACAATATGGGAATGTGTGGTTGGTTGACATTATGTGTAAAAAAATTCTATCCATTTTTTGTTTTTTCGATTTTCGATAGATCAAATCTAGCCTTTTTAATGTATTTATATTTACCCTAAGTCAAAACCGTTCCCTGGTCGCGTCTGGAATAACCTATTCCTCACAGTTGGTGTTAGGAACCTATCTGATTGTGATTGGAATTGACTTAACATCCATCTTAACATACTCTCAACACCAAAGTTTTTCCTGTCATGGATAGTGCGTGGATTGAAGAATTCATTCTCTAATGGGATATTGTGCATCTCATTAAAGTTCTTATCACTCGACCCTACTAAAGATCCCACCATGGTATGGCCTATTCTAAACGCAGCCGCTCCAAAAGCATTTCTCGTTCCTGCATCTACGTTTTCGTTATATTGCGTATTAAATCCAACAGGTTTTGGTAATAGTCCGAGTTGCGAAGTTAATTCATCACCTAGCAATGCTGGTAAAAATTCTGTGAATATTATGTGTTGGTAAATGCCAGTTAGAAGTTTCCTCGTCTCTTTGTATATGCGCTCTCCGTTCCAATGTAGATTTATCCCGTGTAAAATATCAGCGATTCTGTTATGTTCACGCAAGAAAAGTGTTTGAATTGAGTTTAGAAAAGGATTTTCTGTGTGTCTTTGGTCACCTTGAAATATAGAAAATACTTCGTCAATTTCATCGTCATTGTATATAGATCAACAACAGAATGTAATCAAGTATCATATATAAAAACTTACAACTGAACTTCCTGAAGAAAAGCCTAACTACTTTAAGAGTTTGCGATGTCCCTTTATAACGGTTTAAGAATGCAAACTTTCTTAACATGGCTGCCAAAGCTATTCTATATTAAACAATGCAATTATATAAACGAACAACTATCCCCGACATATATTAAATCAAAAAAATGTTAGCAGTAAATATCTTGAAAACTAAAATAGAAAGATACTGTATACCGTACAAATGACCAACAAGATCTACAAATATGAAACATCTACGGTCATCTACGCATGGGGAAAGAAAATCCTTAGTGTTTCAAATATAATTCAAAATTTTACATATAAGTATATTTAAAATAAAGATTTAGGAAAGCCTTAGACCTTAAAATAGAAAGGGAGGTGATTTTTCTTCAATTAGAAATTTTACATAACAGAGCCTTCTCCGAATGACCATAATAACTCATTATAATTGATAATTGCGATGTTAAAGTTACTTTGGAAACATTGGACACGTGTCGTTACTGATGTATTTGCAAAACTTAAGACCTGATGGAATGTCTCGTTCCATATATAAAATAAGTTGAAGAAACGAAACGAAATAAACATAAACCCCTTCCAGAGATAAAATAATTTGAATATTATTATTCTACAAAAGCTAAATGTAAAAATGTTAAAAATTTTAATTTAAAAATGCCTGTAACATTTACATATTTAAGAACATGGATGTGAATTTTTTGCGTTACTGAAAAGCAATAAAATGTGTTTTTCTTGTCGTTTCATTAAACATATATTTTTTTTTCAAATATAAGGCAATTTTAAATTATTCATTCATTTATTTTTCCGTACCTGCACGAAAACACCTTGTGTTTTCAATACAGTCCCCTTCTCCTTGTGGCAGCATTCCAAATGAGCCTTCATACAATTTCCCTGTGATAAAATACAATCGAGACGTCACAATCTACAGTAAATCATTGTGTAAATACTTATCGTTGAAACTAATTAGCAAACCTGCATTTCACATGTCTAAGACGTTTTATATAGACAACAGTAGTTTACTAATATCAAAATTTCATTAATAAATTATTAGTGCATATTCCATGGCTACGTTTCCTTTCACGATTTCCTTGATAGAGGGTTGCTGCTGACATTGAAGCTGTAAACCCAAGAGTTTCCAAGTGTTGAAGTTGAAACCATTTCTTTTGGTTTCTATGTTGTGTTTTGTAAACTGTTGTTTGTCTTTTAGGTTTTTTCTTTTTTTTTTGCCATGGCATTGTCAGTTTATATTCGACTAACTAGATTGAATGTCTCTTTGGTATCTTTCGTTTCTCTTTTTCCACCTTTCTGTCTGTCTTCTGTAAATTGTCACGGTTCAATTTCAAAAATGATAAAAAATATTTTATTGGTTTAAATCAGAATTAACTAGGTACCTTTAACTGAAGAAAATCATTTCCCGCCAAATTTTCAATGGCTTATATCTTCATTTTTTCTGCTTTTTTAGTTACTTTATTTATATACTATCAATTTATAACAGTTTTTGATATATCTTGTTATTTTGAAAGAGTAGCGAACATCCTTAATCCGAACGTAGTCTAAAAAATAATTGATTCAACGAGATGATTCTTAGAAGATATCAACACGGTTTTCTTAACATTTATAAATAAAAAGAGGGGTAAGTTTTTATTTGCGTATACGAAAATTACTTAAAGAGAAGACAGAGATACCTAGAAACGATAAAAAAAATCGTAAGTCATAGAAAGCAACTAAAGACCAATATACAAGCATCATTCCACAATACTCTGTAAAAAGCGTAAGATTGGGCAATAAGAACCCCTTCAAATTCCGAGGATGGAGTCGGGTTCTCCGGGAGAGTTGATAGTTCCTGCTCTAATAGTTGCGTTCGTTGCATTGTTCATATCAAGTAAATATTCCGTGATAAGTCGCATTTGATTTACGAGAACGGAAGACGGGATTGTAAACATATACGACAAAGATATTCTATAACGGTCAATATTACCATAATGGCGTCCATAAAACTTTTTAAATGATTACTTCAGTTTTACCAAAAACATGATTAAAACATTTTTGCTCAAAAGCTAAATACAGTATAATCTAAATGCTGTATCATAGACGTGTACCTCGTCTTTTTTATTGATATGTACAATTATTGACCTTCAAATTTAACTTAAATATCAAGTTGAAAAAGTCCGTTTCTGTCCTATCACTAGATACTAGTAGCTCTTGAGTTTTTGGATGGTACTGTTAAGATCTTTGGTCGTTTCTATGACAAACGAGACGATTTTTATTTTGAAATTATAAATATCCTTCACCTTAGCAGCAATATACCAACTTCACCTGCATATGGGATATACATTTCCCTACTCAGACTTTATAAAACGTCACCAGTGTCTAAGCAGAAAGTTGATGAACCAGGGCTATGTCAAAGAACGTCTCGTCCTTTTGCTAAAAAGGTTCATCGGAAGATACCAGAACCTGGTTGATAAATATTCCGCATCAACTTCACAAATAATAGATGATGGTCTTGATGTATAGATTCTAGGTACTGATGTTGTTTACCATCTTGATTACGTGTTATAGTGTTCTTTTTATTTGTTTTTGTATATTTTTAACCTTTATTGTCCAGTCCATTTTTGGTAATATACTTTTGGCGTAGCTAAATATTCATACATCCCGACATTGTGTTATTGTGCTATGGTCATTTTTGTATTCTTGTCTTTCATTTTTGCTTATGTACTTTGTCTATAGAGTGTCTATATGCCATTTTGTTTTTCTTTGTTGAAATAAATATTTGTTTTAAACTGGTTAAGATTATAACACAATGTTGACTGTTGTGCCCAAATTGTTTACATTTTTACCTATTATGTGTGTTTGTTTTGCTCACATATTTTTGTCAATATAATGGAATTCTATATGACTGTCATACAAGTGAGGTTTCGCTAGCTATAAAATCAGGTTTAATCCACCATTTTCTACATAAGTAAATGCCTGTACCAAGTCAGGAATATGACAGTTGTTTTCTATTCGTTTGGTGTGTTTGGGCTTTTGATTTTGCCTTCTGATAAAGGACTTTCCGTTTTCAATTTTCCTTGGAGTTCGGTATTTTTGTTATTTTACTTTTTTATGTAATTCTTTCGTTTATATGTTTGCCTCGTTCGTTTAATTCCGTATGACTCTCCTAAACAAAGTCGGTTAATTACCTTTTACCTGTTTTGGTTTTTTTTTCCGAGCCTCTTTTTCATTTTTATTAGTATCATTATCAAGTATTGCTTCTTGTTCTTATGCCTTTGACTACAAGATTGAAAATTGTTTACCTGTGCTAAAATCTACAAGGTCCTGTTCTGTTTGTTGTGTGCTGCCATAAGTTACTGATAGATCAAGGAAGGAAGAAGCCTGGTTCATTTGGTTTCGTGGACCTGGTGCATTAAAAGACTCAAATAAATGAATTAACTGAACTATCTCATAATACTATTCTTTAAATGTTTTCTGTATAAATTGAATTTTGAAGCTGTTAAATAAATAAACAAATTCATATTCAATCATTTAACAACCGAAATTGTACACACTATTGTTATCTTATATTTGTGAGTTTTTCCCATGATCATCGGCGTGTCCATCCTCAGTATTTTTTACCCCAATCATGTACATCTTTTTGATAGTTTTGTTTAGTTCTAGTCACAATACGGCGTCATTACTTCTCAAACTTAATCAAGAAAATGTTAATCTCTTGTCTTGTCTTTAGTTTTGTCTCCTCAATGCTCTTCCACATCGTTTTTTTTTTTGACGTTTTAACTTTTTTTATCCGAGCGTCAATGATGCATGTTTGCTAGCCGAAACGCGAATATGAGGAACACAATTATAAGCCTGATATCTTTGATCAGTTTCTATGTCGGTGGTTCTTATATACCACAGTCAAGAACATTTGCTAAGATTAGTTGTCAGTCGTGCTTGCTTAGTTCTCATATCAGCCACTCTTTTTTCCATTTCAAGTACATGCTGCTTAAATGTTTCTTATAAAGGAAGAATAATACGTGTTTTTGGAATACTTTTACGAATGGTGTCTCAAACATAATGATAATAACAATTGTTTGAAAATGTCATTACCAAAATTATCATTTACATATTAATGACTTTACCTGGCAAACAGTCTACTGTTGGAGCAATTTCAGATCTAACAAAATGCATACAAGTCGAGTTAAACTCTCCTGGTGGTGTACCGAAGGGAAAACATTCAGGTCTGAAAACAAAGGAATGTCATGTTAGACTAGAGAAAATGAATTACACTTCATGTATTATGCCTCACCCTCTTCATTGCATTTAATGTACACGTTCATTTATTTAATTTGAACAAGACAATGAGTGTCAGCTGAATGGTGTCAAACTTTTGGTCACTAGCTTGAGTAAATAAAGGCAACAGTAGTATACCGCTGTTCAAAGTCATAAATCAATTGAGAGAAAACAAATCCGGGTTACAAACTAAAACCGAGGGAAACACATCAACTACAAGAGGAAAATAAAGGAACAACAGAAACACTGAAGTGCAACAAAAACAAACGCCAACATATATAGAAACGAACTATTTGATAACAACTGCCATATTCCTGACTTGGTACAGGACATTTTAAGAAAAAAATGTGGGTTGAACCTGGTTTTATGGCTAGCCAACCCTCCCGCTTATATGGCAATAAAAAATATCGTTAAAATGACAACACTACGTGACAGAAATACAGCACAAACACACGCAAGAACACTCATCACAGAGAAACGCACAAATGACAATGACATTATTTTAAGGTAAATTAACGTGCTAATGCTTATTTTACAGTTCACAGGTTATAAAAGATATATAAGATTTGTGAAAACATATATACTGCTATAATATAGCAAGTGCTAAATGGGACACTTTAGTAAGATGATTTGACCATCCATTTATGTAACATGTGATTGATTTTTAAACTTATGCCAATTTCCTCTTTTTAACAGGAACTGCCTAATTTTCGCGAGCGCTTAAGTTCATCCTAGGTTTTGTATTGGGTTTCCAGTGTTATATTTTTTACTGTTTTATTTCCGTGTTGTATTTACGGGAAACAGTTATGTCTGTCATTTTTAATGAAAATAGTTTTTTCTTCATTTCAATTTGTTGCTATTGTGACAATTTTTAGGGTATGATAATTTAGATTCGTCGTTAGCGAATTTAATGGCGTCTTAAAATTAGACAAAAGCATTCAACAATACGTTGTTGTATTAGGTATTATCATGTATAACTTTTCAATGAATTTTGATACGATTAACGACATTGTTGTTAAGTTGTCAATAATAAAGCAGGAACTTCTGACCCTTCCGGAGTCCCTGGGTTCGCCGCAGATTTTCAATAAGGCTCAAACTGTTCAATCTTTAGTTTTCTAAGCAGTGCTTTGCATACTGTTGGTAGTCTTCTTGTATTTTTGTCTTTCTTTTCTGTTTTGTATTAATAAAGTTTGTGTGTCTCTCCGACTTGTTGTTTTTGATATTCCTCTTGGCTTCTAGTCCAGAACTATTTATTACAACAAAGATAATAACTCTACCTTGAAACTGGCATGTTGCCATTACAACATCTTAACTCAATGCCTGAAAAATATCAACAATACATTTTTAAATTGGAGGTAAACCTAAAAAGTTACAACAGTTTGTGTTAAGACAGCCAGTGCTCTATCAAAACAAAAAGTTAAAAATAATTATAGATATTGAACTCGGACATAGTACTAATTGTGATTAGATCAAATAAAGTCCCTAAAGACCACTGTATGTTAACCCATATGTCTTATTTGGTTTGGTCTCGTTGGGTTGTTGTTCCATTCACGTATACCTACATCATTTTTTATTAAAACACCCCCTCCCCCAAACAAAACAAACAAAACAAAACCAAC